CTTGTCAGTGTGGTCCTTGCACTCAGGCTCAAACTGCAGCCAAGCCACATCTGTGAGCTCTTGCACTGCATCTGTCACCTGCAGTTCCAAAGCGACACTGGCAGTGACTAGTGTGAGCTCGTGCCTTTAGGGTTAAGAACAGTGCCTTAAAATTGTGTCTGGAGAAAAGAGAATAAGCTTGATGTGATTTGTGTGTGTGTGTTTGCAGAAGCAGTGAAAGATTCCCTGGAGAAATTGAAAAAGAGAAATATAAGGAGTGTATTCAGTCATCTGGGTCATGATTTGCAGTCCCTTTCAAAGTTGGAGAAAACAGTTCATTCAAATCGAGAAGTGACTTTTAGCACAGTCTAGCTGAAAGAATTAGTCAGAGTTTGCCCAGTTAAATATTCATCAGTTTATGCTCTTTAGCTTTACATGACAAATTACTTAATGGTTTTATACTTTCCAGAACCATTTTAGGTCAGCAAATGAGGCTTTCCAGTGACATACTGTAAAGTTCACATGTACATACTACAGTAATTACATTTTTGTGGTCAGGAACAAAGCTCTTTATATAAAGTTGAAGATTTAAAAGGCAAAAATTAAACTGATAATTATGGAGGCAATTATGTCAACCACATGTTTCGCTTGTCCCTTTGCTAAGCCTGGCTTCTCTTGAGCAAAAGGTGTCATCCTTAGCCCCCAACTCCTCTTTTTCACACTCTGTGCTCTCAAAATCAGTATCAAAAACTGTAATGATCCACTAATACATGCTGTTGTGAATGAGGACTCGCCAGAGTACAGCTTTTGAGTCATGCATCATTTGAATTTTTAATCTATCAGATGTGCCAAGAGGTGGGCAAAAGTGGTAAGTGTGAACATTGGGGAACTTAAATTTTAAGATTCTGAGGAAAAAAAAAACAAAACCTTAGTATTATGTTCTTTGGGTTAATGAATGGAGGGCTCTTGTTTGATCTTTCATTTTGCTGTTACGTGAAGGATATTCTGGGATGACTCCACTTGAGGTTGTGGATATTCAGTCCTTGGATTTATTTCTTGGTGAATATGAGACTTAATGAACTCCCTCCACCTCAGGACTGCCTTCAGACTCACTTCCCTGGACCTTATTTGTTGTTCAAATCCCTTCTGGGGTTTGAATGGTGGTCAAGTCCCAGTTTCTTCCTTTTTAACAATCCAGTTTCTGCTTCCACGGTCTCTGCCCCAATACCCAACGTTTGGTATTGTCTTAGTTCCCCTCCTTACTTAATCCTATCCTAACTAAAGATGAATTTTTTATGCTGTTGGTATTTTTTCTGTTTCGTAAGGAGTTTTCAGCATATGTCCTAGGCCTAAATATACTTTTCATTAATGCCACTCTGTCTGTTGCATTTTCCTTCTGAATTCCTCTCCTTTATTTGGAGAATTAGAGTGGTCGGGTCATGTTCTGTATTCATTTTGAACAACTATTTGTGTAAATACAACAGGTAAGAGCCTTACACTGAGACTCAGAAGATTGTATTGAAGTAAAGCATGTGAAAATATGTGAACTTTTCAGAATAAAAGATGTTTTAGAAGGTCAAGTGGTAATACTATACTCATAGTCACTTTTTTAAAAGTAAAAGGGTAGTATAGAGCTTGCTGTGTGCTTTAAATTGAACCTTAAATTTCCATAAGTCTTATTCTAAAAAAATTATTTTAACACTAATCTTTTCTGATCAATTTGCAGCTGAGTATTTGACTAAAATTACATTTTGCCAAGTTTGAGGGAACTGCGTAAGTGATTTCCACACATTTTTTTGTTCACATTGGAAATTGTCACATCAAAATTTTTGTGACTGGATCCATGTTTAGAATGAGTGGAATTTGCTATAAATAAATAGTGAAAAATATAGCTGAATATTTTTGGAACGTGGCATTTCTCATCACTGATGTGGTGTGTTATTTAAAAATTAGCAAATACTGTGTAAATGCAGTTGAATGAAGGCATGAGTAGTGTTTTAGATAAAAGATGGTGATTGATTTCCTTCTGTTGCATCAGAGACCATGTGATGAAATTATTGCGATGAAAAGTAAAGTTTAAATTGGTTTAAAAGAATTTATAGTAGAATTGTTTCTAACATGTCCTACTCAAATTTGTAGTACTGGAAATATTTAGCTGTATTGTAATATTTGAGCTAATAAAGATTTCCTGAAATACATACCCATTTTATTGTACCTTTTGTATACCTGCTGCCACTTCAGGTATGCAATACTGGATGAAAGATATGTATCCCATCAGTGCTTTTTGTGCACTTGTAGATACCCAATAAATGTCAAGTATGGGTAACAAAACATGACAGAAACCAATTTGAAACTTAAATAGTTTATTACATACTGCCTGATGCTTTAGTTATTATTGGAGCTCATTGTGTCTGCTGATTCAGAAGTGTTTTGAGGGTCAGAGCTGTATGTCATCAGTATTATATGTTCATCCTATATATGTGTATTTTGAAGATTAAGAGGTTCCTAGATGGAGATACATGTTTATTTTTATTTCACTTTAAGGACTTACTTAGTGGATGAGGAAAGCTTTCTTGTTTGTTTGTTTTCAGTGCTGGGAATCAAAACCAGAGGAGAGCCTTAGCTTTTTGAAATCTAATTCTTAATGCCTAAACTTTCAGCTGTTTATCCTGGCTGTAGGGTACAAGTTATAAGCAACCAGAATTTCACAAACCTGATTAGAGCTTTGTTTTAACCACTTTAAACAATGAAAAGAATGGGTGACTACCATAACTTGAGTAGATGCAGGGTTTGCTCTTGTCATATGACTATTTGGGAGATTTTTAAAGGGTGAGAATTTATTTACAGATCTGAGGTCTTTCTGGGCCACAGACAAATTTGACTTTTGTGTAATGATGTAGTCTTTTCTTTAGAAGAGAGAGAGAGTGTGTGTGTGTGTGTGTGTGTGTGTGTGTTTGTGTAGTTGTGAAAAAGCAGGATTCCAGAAGTATCATTCGTGGAAAGGAATCATCTCACATAGGAAATTCTGCTCATCTCGTCTTATTTATGGTGAAATGGTGATGACATGGAGATTTTGGCTTGAATGGCTGCTTTCGTGCTAGAAAGCATGTTACCAGGTGTCCTATTAAATGTTAAAAATTACAGTGAGATGATTTGTGGTGTAATTTAGATCTACCTTCCTATGGGAGTCAATAATGAAACTTTTTAACATTTCACCAAAAATTGCAGTATGGGTGTTTGACTATTAGTTACTTTCACCATGCAGTATTCATTCATTGAGAAATAATATTGGGGCTGGACATGGGGTACATGCCTACAACTTGGGAGACAGAGACAAGAAGATTGCTGCTCAAGGCCAGCCCAGACAAAGGGAAACCCTATCTCAAAAACCAAGCCAGGGGTGGTTGAATGTGCCTATAATCCCACTGCTAGGGAGGTGGAGCTAGGAAGATTGCAGTTTGAGGCCAGCCCAGGCAAAGTTAGTGCAAAGTCCCATCTGAAAAGCAAACTAAAAGCAAAGCAAAAGGACTGGGGTTGTGGCTCAAGTGGTAACGTTCTTACCTATCAAGTGTGAGGCTCTCTGCGTTCAATCCCCAGTACCACCAAAAAAAGAATATTGAAATCAAATGATGTGTTAGGGACAGAGTTTTCTCAGGACATGTGTGGGTGATGTTAGAATTGAATTGTGCCTAATAAGTAGATAACCTGTCTACAGACATTGGCCCTTGGCATGTTTTGGTTTAACTCACTGGTGAGTATTTAAAACATCTTCAAAGAAGTAAAACATTTTTCCATTACTTAAATAGTTCCAAAGAATCAGATGTTAACCTTCCTCTGATAAATGACAAACTTTTTTGTTTTGGGTGATACTAGGGTTTAAACTCAAGGCTTCACAGTTATTAGACAGGTGCTCTACCATTTGAGTTATGCTTCCAGTCCTTTTTTTTGCTTTAGTTATTTTTCAGAGAGGATCTTGTGTTTTTGGTCATAGTCTTCCTATCTTCAAGTTCCTCCTACCTAAGGCCTCCCCCATAACTAGGATGACAGGTGCCTGCCACCAATCCTGGCATATTTATTGAGATGGGGTCTTGCAAAATTTTTGCATAGGCTGGCCTCTAACAGTGATCCTCTTGATCTCTGGCTCCTATGTAGCTAGGGCCAGTCCTAATTATAGGCCTTTCATTGTGAGACAACAGTTTTGATCAGAATTGCTTATATTTTCTTGGGATTAGGGTTGATAGAACATTTAAGAGTACGGACTGGATACAAGCTGCCTGTGTTAAGCAACCTGGCGCTGCTTTTTATTAGTGGTAGTTGTTAGTGGTGTAGCCTTGAACAAGAGTCTTTCATTGCTTTCAGCCTCAGTTTCCTCATCTCACTATGGAGTTAATATTAGTCTTACTCCTAAGGCTGCTGTGAGAACTAGCATGTGCTGTGAGCCGTGCTTCTAGGGAGTGCATTAAAGGTGAGCCATTTGATCTCTTGAGTGCTCTGCTGCTTTTGTTCTCAGGCTTTCTACTGAAGCATTGAAGTCCTTTCTTTTTGATCACGTACCATTGGACTCATCTCTAGGTTTTCGGAGGAAGGGTACCTTTTTTATATTTTGGATTGTCACACAGGCATCTCGTTGTCACTTATGGCAGATGGGCTAAGTCAAGAGAGACATCTATGTTTTTTGGAAAAGGAAGGCCAACAAAGCCTGGTCTGGCACAAGGCTGCAGCTATTGAAATGCTGTTCCCTGTGGACTTGGCTGGTTGTTGAGCTGTCTGATGCTTCTGAATAAAAGGAATACACCCCATTGGTTTCATTTAGCAGAATTCATCTTTCTTCAGAAGACACTGCTTTTTACTTGTATTAACCTTAATTGATGATAAACTTGAAACTCGTTAGTGTCAATGTCAAGATTTTAACTTGAGTTTTCTGTGTTACTATAAATGTTCTGAATAGTAGCTTTCTTTATAATTTTAGAAGTAGCTGAAATTGCTGCTGTGCTTCAATAATTCAAGTGGTTCAAGATTGACTTCGTAGGACTGAAAATTTCTTTGTTTATGGTAAGGTTAAAACCAAATACTCAGGAAAATAATTTGACAATTACAGCTTTGTTTGGGCTGTTCAATATTGAGATAGCTGACTTTCAAAAGTTAAGTCCAAATAGTTGACATTTGAAACTACTCACTAAAAAATAAATGCTTCTGCTGAAACAAAATGGGTGTAAACTCTTGTTTACCTTTTTGTTTAATATCCAGGTCTTGGTTTTTAGTTGAAAAAAGTTTTTATAAAATGCTATTTAAAGGATATTGTGGTTTAAATATGTATGAGGTTAAGTTTTATAAAATTCCATGTTCTAGTTTTATTTGGTTTTCTATGCACTGAGGAGATTGGCAAATATATCTGTATTCAATGGTATGACTTTTGTTTTCTTGTTTAAAGAAAGCAAAGTCTGGTTGATGCTGTTGATTTAGTTGAGCAACTAGGTTGCCCAGAATAAGTTTAATAATGATATAATATTGTTAATATTCTCTTAGCCATTATACAGTCCAGATCAAAAAAAAAAATGCTGAGATAAAAAAGAAAAGATCATAACTCTTTTTCAAAAAAAAAATGTAGATACAGGTTTATAGTTCCTTTAATTTGAGCTACTCTATAAAGACTGTGTTGGGGGTGGTTTAAGAAAGCAGGTCTCCAGGGTGTTAGTACTGTTGCCTACATAAAATCTGCCCATTTTGAGACAAAGGCCTGTGTAACACATTGTTAATGTTTCCCTGGTGTTTTTTCTGCCACACTCTATAGGGACAGATGTTGCTGTCCTTCAGCTGTGAAGGTAATAAAGCCAACATAGAACCCTAAAGTGCAGATATGAACGTGGGTATTTGATTTATGGCTCTAGTCAACATTTATGGAGCAGATGATTGTTTGAACCTCAGCTAAGACTCACTGCAAACCTGGAGCTTTTGTAGAACAAGAATACCACATCCTTTCTGATTTGCCAGATACTTTCATTGAACCACAAAGCCTTTCTCTTGTCTGCTTGTAACGTCACTGTGTTTCTTGGGCATCTCGTTCCTCTTAGGCATGTATTGCTTAGTGAAGTTGTACTGAGCGTGTTGGACTGATCATGGACTAACACATTCCAGAACCTTTGCTGGTCAGAGATTAGGGAGTCACAGGAGGCACAGCAATGGTGAAAGCACAGTCACCAGCTTGTTAGACCTTCTTTAGCACACACTTGGTATGTTGATCTCAAAGATACTCTGTTCTCTACTCTTGGGTCTCCACAGGGGATCTCATGCTTTTACCTGGGCTGACCTCCTACCTATGCCTCATCTCAGTAGCTGAGATTTACAAGCATGTATCATGATGCTCAGCTTGATCATGAGGTATTTGGTCCAGACTGGTCTTGGATGGTGATCTTCCTATCACTGCCTCTTCGGGCAGTAATTTTAAAACTTCCAGTTCAATGCATAGTGCAAAACTACTTCAATAAGCCACTTATTGACATTTGTGTTATCGATGGATGACATATATGACAGTGGTTTAAGACTATAATGGAACTGAAAAATTCTGTCATCTGGTATTCTACTGTACCATTTCTATGCTTAGGAACGTTTAGATGGAGAAATACTTGTCACTGTGTCACAGTTGCCTACAGTACTCAATACAGTGACATGCTATACAGGTTTGTAGTCTAGGAGCAATAGGCTATACCATATAACCTGGGTGTATAGTACAATATTTTTTTCTTTGAATAGGGCCTCACTCTGTAACTTAGGCTGGCTTTGAACGCAATCCTCCTCCCTGAGTGCTGGGATTACAAGTGTGAACCACCATGCCTGGCTTTGAAGCCATAGTCTTAATTTGTTTGTCTTGTGTTGCATTCTCTGTCTGTCTTTGTCTTGTCTTGTGTCTCACTCTGTAAGTGGAGGAGTAATGGCTGGGTTTTATCAATTGAATGGTTGATACCCTAAAAGTGACTGACAGATGAGCCAGTCTATGATAACCAGCTGTTAAAATCTTAAGATAATGGATGAGTTAAAACCCTTGGTGACATGAAGGAGGAAGTAGCTTTTAGGGAAAGGGAAATGGAATATAAAAAGTGCTGGAGGTCTGTACTTTTTATTTTATCATTTATTTATTTATTTATTTTTGTAATACTGGAGTTTGAACTCAAGACCTCACGCTTGCTAGGCAGGCACTCTACCACTTGAACCACTCCACCAGCCCTGTTTTGTGTTGGGTATTTTGGAGATAGTGTCTTGTGAACTATTTACCTGTGCTGACCTCAAACCACAATCCTCCTGATCTCTGCCTCCTGAGTAGCTAGGATTACAGGCATGAGCCACCAGTGGCCGGTTATATTCCTTCTTATAAATGTCTTAATCTCAAAGATTCTTATTGTCATCTTGAAAAATCTACTCTTTCTACTTATTCAAAAAATCTTTCTACTTATCATATGTTTTTAAAATACTCATTTAATTCAGCAACTTTATACTCAAACCAAGTTTTAGTTACTGAGTCAAAATCTAGAGACACACATTTAAATTAAGCAATTCTCTTTAGGAAGCTTCATGCCTGTAGTCTAGTAGGTGGGTGTAATTCAGACAGGATCTTTCATTTTCTGAGCTCTCTGCTAGGGTGCCCTTCTCCCAGTGGTTCATGTAGCTGGCTCCTTGACATCACTTCCCATCTCTAAAACAGTTGAAATGCTTTCCCAGGTCATTCCTCCTAAGGTTTCTCTTTTATTATCCTATTATTTCCTAAGTCATATTCTTTGATTATTTTAGTTGCTGGCCTGTCTGTTGTGTGCTCTTTCTGTTGAAATATAACTGCTATGAGAGGTCCTCACCTGACCATTTCATTCTGTGCCCACAAGGCTTGGTTCACATCAGTTACATATAACTGCAATCATGAGTATAAGAGTTAGTTAGTTGAAGGAGTAAGGAAAGGCTATTCTAAGCAGGTAGAAAACCATAAAAGAGTCTGCTATTGCAAGTGAAATAATACTAGGTTGAGAATGTGAGGCATATTGGAAAAGGAAGGACTGGGTTATAAAAGGAAGGCTGGAGGTGGGAGATGTGCTGCATTCCAACCCAAGCAAAATAGATTCTATTTTGTCCATCTAATAGAGCCAAGAGAATTTTTTTTTTTTTTTAAGTAGGAGTGTGGCACAATTAGAAGGATAATTCTGGTAGGTGTTTGATGGATGGACCAGATCTTGGAGAGTACAAGCAGAGAAGAGCTCCATTAAGAGGCTATAGCTATAATGACATGCAAGAGAGCCTAAAATAAAACTTGTTGCTTTTGACATAGAAAAGAAGATAGATTCAAAGTTAATTGAGCATAGGAGAGAAATGATAGAAGGATAAGTCTGAAATTTTTCATTCAGATGAGTCAATGGTGGTGGTGGCTTCATTCTCTATAAACATTAAGAGAGAGAACAAGCATTTCTAAGGGAATTAATGAGTTTTGCTTTGGATGTGTTGGTTTAATTTAATAGCTATGCCTGATAGATTGATGGGAATGTGGAATCAGGTCTCCAGTAGATCAGGATTGACATAGAAGCCAGCCACAAGCTCATGAATAGTCTGGAATGCTTCTAGACAACTAGGATTTAAGGCAGTGGTTTACAACCTTCAGAGATCTGAAACCCATTTGAGAATATGACAAAAACTATGGTCTCCTCAGGTGTGCATACACAATTGCAGAGGGTTCCTAACTTCTGGAACTGTTTTGTTAATCTTTTAGGGACTGCCATAGACCTGAGTTAACAACTTCTGATTTAAAGAGTAAACAGAAGTATTTGAGATGAGTAGAGAACCCAGGAAAGATGCCTTAGAAGCAGGGATGGAGAAGAAAGGGTAGGGAAGGGGAGAACTTTGAGAATCAGAGTTTCTAGTGCTTTGTGCTCTGGAGAGGTCAGTAATGCGAGTTTCAGCTGTGTTTCTGGGCTTGTTCATTTTTAACCATTGGTGATTGATACCGTATGGAGGCAGAAGGCAGAAGGCAGGTGGTGCCAGTTGAGAATGAATTGAAGTATAGGGATCAAGGCATAGTAAACAGAGTGAGGAAATCTTGATGTTCTCTGTGATAAACAGTCCCAGTATAAAAATGTAGGCTGTTTTAAGGAGTTACAGAAAGGGAAATTCCATTATTTTGATTACCTGTTATGATGTTTTGGCCCACTGGTTCTCAAAAGGCTGCCCATTGGAAACAGAAATGTTTTAAAAATCTGGGGCCCTGTCAAGACTAATTAAGTCAGTATCTCTGCAGGATGAGCTTCCTAGCTTTGGTTTCTAGTTTTGGTTTTTCCTTAATCGTTAAGAGCCAGTTTAACTGCTATGGTTTGAATATGATTTGCCCCCACAAACTTATGCAGGAATTTATATGTTAATGTTAGTAAGAGGGCGGGAAGTTAATCTGGCTATGATCTTTTGAAGTGGTGCCTTTGGAATGGTTATGTTTAGGTAAAGTCATTAAAGTGGAGTCCTCATGATTGAGTCCTTTATAAGAAGAGGGCAAAGACCAGACAAATGTGCCCCCTGGATCTTAACCATATGATGCTCTATGTTGCCTCAGGACTCTACCAGAATTGAGCAGATAGATGCCAGCACCTGAACTTCCAAAATTGTGAGCTAAATAAATCTCTTTTCTTTATAGTCAGCTTGCCTCAGATATTTTATTACAGTAAGGAGAAGTTGACTAATGTAGTTCTAAGCAGAAAACTTCTTATCACTCTTGTAGTATCTTCTGTGTAAGAATCCTTTCTTACTTCAGTATTATCATCAAATTTCTCACCTTAACTGTTTTGATGTTTTTAAATCAGTGTTCCTTAGTCTTTCTGATAGACTATAATTTTCGATTACAAGAAAATGTATGGCTTTTTGCTGTTCTCCAGATTTATCTTTTTGAGTAACATAATCCTCAGTTACTGAGGTGATCAGTTCTATGGAAAATAGGAAATTGTTAATGGTCCTTTCATGAGGAAAAATTATTCCTTTGGTAGTCCTATTTGCTTTAAGCATGTTGTATATATTGCTTTCTTTCTTTTTTTTTTTTTTTGGTGGTACTTGGGCTTGAACTCAGGGCCTTCACCTTGAGACACTCCACCAGCCCTATTTTTGTGAAGGATTTTTCAAGATAGGGTCTCGTGAACTATTTGCCCAGGCTGGCTTCGAACCACTATCCTCCTGATCTCTGCCTCCTCTTGAGTAGCTAGGATTACAGGCATGAGCCACTGGTGCCTGGCTTTATTGTGTTTTAACCAGAAAAAAATTGGTTTCTGCATTGTTTTCCCAAGTACCTAGTTTTATAATCCCCTTCTTTAAAATGGCATTGATGTATGGCATAGACCTTAAATACCTTGTCATTTCATATGAAGGGTAACCTTGTAAAAGCAGTTAAAAGCAAAGTATCCAAGTAAGAAATTTCACCTGTTATATTTTCACCTTGCTGTGCTTTCTCATGATTAATTTTATATGAGGTATTAGTGGTTCAGGTTTGAACCCTGCATTCAAAACCTTGAAATAAAAATTAGAATACAGAGAGGTTTGATCTTAATGTATGCCAACTCTGACACCAACCAGAAGCTGTCAGAGGGTTTGTTTGGTCTGCAAGCTACCTAGTGAATTAACTTTTATACTTGCAAATAAAAATAATCTTTTAAAATTGTATTAACATTAGCTTACTGGCTAAATTATTTTTGTAGATTGTAGTCTTCTATTGTGAGTAACTTAGGGTGGATATCAAGCTTCTCTGTAAAACACGAAACTTCCCAGTGTTTTAAATGTAAGCCTATAATAAGTGAAAATAGGGACACATGTAAAACCTGCTCAAGAAAACTGATATCTTACTTTTCTTTTTTCTTT